AGAAGTCCTGCTCGTGTGTCCTGGCCAAGCAACCCCTGCCCTGGCCAGTCTGTGCTGCAGAGCCAGCTGGTCCAGCTTCCCTGTCAGTGCTGGACGTGGGAAGGGTCTCTCCTCGCTCTGAGCAATCCCACACTTGTGCAGCACCCCAGGTACTGCTGCCCCTCAGGTGTTTCCCAGCTCCCTTTTACATCCCTGCCTCGCTGGTGGCCTGGCTGGCCCAGTGTGTGTGTCAGTGGCCCTGCTGGGCTCCCTGGGACCGAGGACTGAGCTGCCTCTGGGGGGTTCTTGCTGTCACCTGCAGCCACCCTGCCCCACTAACACTGCCATGTCCCAAGTCTCCCGCTCTGCTGGTGGCAGTGGAAGCCAGGATTGAAACAAGACATCAGCCTATCCCTGTCCCCTCCCCACCTCAGCTCGTGTCCCTGTCCCACCTGAGGTGCAGGCAGGCTGGGTGACTGCTGGGTCTTGCCCTCTGCCATCCCATTAGGGCTGATGGAGATCCTGCCTGACAACTGTGTCCAGGTGGGCAAGAAGGAGCTGATGTACACGGGCACCGTGGGGCTCATCATCTACCTCGGCGGCGTCATCTTCATCAACAGGAAGAGCACCAGCAGCGCCAAGATGGTGATGGCTGAGGTTGCCAAGACCATGACAAATGAGAATGTGAGTGTGGCCGTGTCTGGGCACCCCGGGGTGGCACGGGGGCGTGTGGAACTCCTGGTGCTGGCTGACCTGGAGTCGCAGACATCTGCAGCTCTTGGCAAAGCTGGCTGGCAGCTCGGGGCACTGCAGGTGGATTGCTGGACTTAAGCCTTGTCTCTCCCATGTGCAGCTGAAGGTGTGGGTGTACCCAGAGGGCACAAGGAACTGCACTGGGGATTTGCTGCCATTCAAGAAAGGAGCATTTCACCTCGCTGTCCAGGCACAGGTAACAGTGCTCCGCCCCTGCACAGGCACCCTGAGTGCTTTTGCAGTGGCATTCCAGGCTGGTCATGCAGTGTGTGGTTTATTTGCTCTCAGGTTCCCAGGTAACACCTCCCCAGGTAAACCACTGTTAGGTGTCAGAAGTGCTGCCCAGGAGGAGCCAAGAGCCTTTTCCATCCCCTGTGGGAGTGACCTGACCCTGGGGACAGGTGGCTGCAGGCAGTGGAGAGCTGCCTTTTCCTCTCTCCTACCTGCCCCAGTCCCAGTGTTCCAACTGCAGGGCAGGCACACTTGACCCTCACTCCAGGCTTTCCTGGCAGTGCCTGTGCCCAGGGGTTCCTGGGGGCATGGCTGCAGCCCAGAGCTCCTTCCTGGAAAGGATTCCAGCGGGTGCTTTCCTGGGGAATCCCAAAGCTGTTGATGCATTTCTCAATCCCCCAGGTTGCAATAGTGTAGAGCTGATTCAGGATTGTTAATGCTCGTGCTTTAGAGCAACATCTGGGCTTGCTCTGTGTGGAAATAGCTGCTCCCTCCCTGATGGCCATATGGCACTTCTTGGTATGTCTTTTTTCCCCAAAATGACAACATCCATGAGCAGTCAGTGGGGGAGCAGGCAAACAGCTCCTTGGTTTCAGCCAGCCAGAGCTGTCCATGCTCTCAGAGGGGGCTGCTTGCCTGGGCAGGGCACTGGGGCAGTGTGCCAGGGACTGGGATGATTCGAGGCCTCAGGGGAAATTGGTTTCCCTGGGAGAGATGTTACAGCAGGGATTCTGGAGAAGGGAGTATGTGCCAGATCTCTTGCTGAGATTGACTAGCTAAACCCAGGGCGCAGCCTGTGTTGTACCATCCCCATTCCTGCCTGGGTGACGCAGCCAAGGCAGGGCCTGGCAGCTGCTGGAAGGGAAGGATGTCAGTGGAACTGGTACCCGCCTCTGCTACACCCCCCTGAGTCACCTACTGTAGATCCTGTCTGTGTTATCAGCGTGGAATAACGACTCTGTGCCTGCCCTCCTGGCCCTGTCTCTGCCTGAAGCTTCCCTGGGAGCAATTGATGGCAACTGGTGACTCCTTTTCTTAGAAGCTGAAGGCACAGCAGCTGCCCTGCCCCAGACACGTGCTGGTACAGGAGGCAGGGCCTGGCAGAACAGGCATCCTGCAGTGTTTGTTTGCAGGACAGACAATACCCAAGCTTTGAAGCCTGGCTTGGGATGAGGAGCCCTAAAAGCCAGTGCTGACCTGAGGCTGAAGTGGAACTTGGCCCTAGTTCTTTGAGTATCTCTGTGCCTTGAGTTACTGGGGAGTGGTTTTGATCTTGTTTGACTCCTGATTGTCCCAGCTTTGGAAGTGGGTCTTGCTGTGTGTGCCCTGTGTGTCTGAGAGCCAGGCCAGGTCAGCTCTGCTGTGTGGGATTTGCTGCCTGTCTCTGGCCAGCCCTGAGTTGCTGCAGTGCAAGTAACTCCTCTTTTTCTTTCCTTCCCCAAGGTCCCCGTGATCCCTGTGGTGTATTCCTCCTTCACCACCTTCTATAACCCAAAGACGAAACTGTTTACATCAGGTACCAAAGAGTCACTTGGAGAGAGTGTTGATGTTGCCTCCTGTGGAGATCTGGTTCACAAGGGTGTGGAAGGGAAGCAGAGCTGGGGTGAACAGGAGGAGTCCCGCTGGGAAATGTTTGGAGTCAGTTCAAAGCACTTGGCACCAGAGCCTGGGCTGGGTTAGTTCAGGAAAGGCTGTAATTAAATACACTGAGGGATGTTTTCATTAAAGATTGGATACCACCTCTCCTTCTCTGGGCAGGCTCTGGCTGGGGTGGCAATTTGGGGCACAAGGGGAATATTTTACTTGGCACAGCTGTTGGTCTAACCACAGATCATCCTCTGCCTGCACTCCAGGGGTGGATGCCTGAAGCCCTGGGATGGGATGAGGGCTGTGCTGGGACTGCCCAGGGCAGGCAGCAGAGCAGGGAACAGAGCTCCTGTGGCATGTGGGTTTCTCATGGGCTCCTCTCTTGTTCCCAGGCAAAATCAAGGTGGAGGTTCTGCCCCCAATAGAGACCAAAGGCCTGACATCAGATGATGTCACCGACCTCACTGACAGATGCTTCTGCACCATGAGGGAGACCCTCTTCAGGCTGTCGGGCCGTCCAAGCGAGGCCAAGGACTCGTCCTAGAGGCTTCTCCAGTGATGTCACCGTGTGGTGGTGGCTGAAGGGACTTGTTGCCAAATACTGAAGGAACTTCTCTTCCTCTGCAGTGACTTCTAACTCTGGGAACACCGTGGACTGGCACACACAGGGTGTCGAGCCAGCACTGAGGTTTCCCTTCGAGCGGATTTGTCTTATGGGTTCATTTTCTCACTATGAAACGTCTCCTTTTTCTGAATTTCTCAGGCATCAAACTTGTGCTACCAAAGGGCTCAATGACCAGAGGGGTGAGTTCCCCCAGCTCAGGCAGCTGGCATGGGGTGACAGCAAAAACCTGGCTGGAGCCTGGGCTCTGCCTCACGTGAGTGTCCCTGCACGTGTGTTCCTGCAGGCTCAGCCCCGTGATGTCCCAGATGGAAACCACCAGGCAGCAGTTTGTATCTGCACAACCTTGATGCTCAGAGAGGGATGAGAATTGGGTGAAAATCCAGATTTGGCTTTTCAGCAGCGCTGGGAATGCAGTGTCCTCCCCGGACAGCCCAGAGCACTGCCACCCGGCACAGTGGGACTCACGGGCCTGTCTCCTTGAGATGCCAACCGCATCTTGTTTTGGGAAACTGCTGGCAGCTCCCTGCCGTGGTGGTGGCTCAGCCTGGCCACAATCCCGGTGCCTGCAGTGCCCCCTTACAGATGTAAAGGGCTCTGTCGGGCTCGTTTTGTCACTTGTCATGGTCAGCACCGGCCGAAAGATGGTGCCTGTCCCGCGTGTCTCTGCCGCTCTCCGAGGACTGTAAAACCCCCTCGGAGCCACAGGGTGGGTGAGCTGCAGCTGGAACGGGGCTTGGGAGGCTTCACCTCTCCCTTTTGGGGACATGAATTCCTTTCCCAGTCAGATAAAGGGAGTTCCCCTGTGCTTTGGGATGATGGATGGACCAACAGAGCTCTTGGATCCCTCACCAGGAGCTGTGGAAGTGTTGATGCCCTCAGAGGCTGGGTCAGGTCCGTGGTTCCTTTACCTTTAGCTCTGCTGTTCATGGCACAGGGGACCTTGGGATGAGCCACCTGGGGCTACTCAGGTAACCAACACGACCAGCTTTTGCAGCCTGTGTTAGTGGAATTGCAGTTATATGGTATTTTGGGGTTAAAGCCTCAACTGGGAAAGGCAGGGAATTCTGTGGAGGGAGCCCTTGGGCCGAGCTGGTGCTGGCAGGGGCTTTATTGGAGGGGCCTTATGGTACAGACTCAGGGGTCAGACCCTCTGTGGGATGGGGTCGGGGTGGGAGGATGGGAACCAAACCAGCACTTTGTGAGAGTGGCAGATAAAGGCCTGTCATGGAGGGTAAACCCAGGAGGGCCCTGGGAGGGCTCCTGGGGAATGGTAACCATGTCTGACTCCTCCTGGGAGGAGGGAGCAGTGCCTCTGTGTGCAGTCGTCTGCTGTTCACTTTTAATTGGGTTGAGGATGTTATGTGCTTTACAAAAAAAAAAAATTACACCTATGATTATTTAAATAAAGGAGCCTCCTGGTCTTGTGTGGGAGCTGAGGGAGGAGGATGTGGGGTGCTGATCCCTCAGCTCTTGCAGGGAGGGGGTCCCTGTCCCTCCCTGTGTCCCCCAAGCAGAAGGGCTGTGCTTCTACTCCCCAAACCACAGGGATGGGCACCCACTCCCTGTACCCCGTGCAGGGACCATGTGTACCTGTCCCCTGCCGTGACATCCTGGGGCTGCAAGGACTTGTCCCCACCTTTTCCATGTGACAGCAAGTCGGGGCAGTGTGGGGAAGCACTGCCCTGCTCGGGCCAGGCCTGTGCCCTGCAGGGCAGGCGGCACAGCCAGCCCTGTGCCCGCTGCTCCCTGGGAGAGCAGGGCCTGGGATAATGCTAAGGAAAAGCCAGGCAAAGCTAAACAAACTCAGCCTCACACACAGGCAGTCTGGCACAGCCAGGCACTCGTGGCACGAGGTAAGGCATTTATTTGCTGCCTCTCCAGCAGGAAAGGGGGGAGATGTGGAGGGCTCGGAGTCCAGTTTGGAAGTAACTGCGTGACCTTTGATAAGATGAGCTGGAATAGAAAATTATGGAGATGCTGATGAGAAACCAGCCTTCTCCTGGTACCCTGTGCCTTCCTGTAGATGATGTGGCTTTGTCCCCAGCCTGGGGCTGGAGAGTGAGATAAGAGCTGCAGATGCACTCGGCTTGTTCCAAGGCCTCGGGAGTTCGGCTAGAGTTCGTTCTTGCAGGAACCTGGGAAGATGGAAAAAAAAGAAACAATTCAGCAACATCCGTAGCCTGGGTTTGGTTTGTCTCTTTCCCAAGCAGATTGACCTTAAACCTCTGTGAATATCACCCACACTTGCAGCTTTCCCTTTGGCAAACAACCCTAGGCTGGCTCTGTCCCACCACACTCGGGAGTGTCACTCCCACCTCCCTGGTGTGTCACAGTCCTTGCCTGGGCCCTGTGTGCAGTGTCCCAAAGCCAGTGACAGCAACAGTGACAATCTGTGCTGGATCAGGGCTAATTCAGACTTAGAGGGGCCAAAGTGGTTATGGCTTCAAGAGCTCTGCTCTGGTGCCTTCGCTGGTGGTTTAAAGAGAAAGTAGTTTTTCTTGGTCCTTACACCCACCCCCACCGAGCAGCTAATTAGGAGTGCAGTTTTATTGTAGCATTCAGTTGTGAAATGCTTCACCAGGCCCAGAACGTGGATGGCTGAGTAACTCCGTGGGATGCCCTGCGAGCCCCAGGGCTTGCTGGAGTATGACAGGACAGTTTTGTGTCCTCCAGGGACTTGCAAGACCATGAAAAGGGACAAAAACAAGTTTTGCTTGCTGGAGCAGGCTTGGCAAAAATTAATTTCAGCACTTTGGAGTCATCCCTTGGAATAAATCCATGTTACCTTGTGATACTGCTCACATTCCTCAGTGCTGTCACTAATAATATGTACAGAGCACTACTAGGAAACTCAGTCTGCTGGAACACTCCATGGTTCTGATAATTACCCCTTTCTGAGATGCTTTTTAAGTGTCTATTTGCAGCTACTTTGTCTTCAAACAAGTTCTTTGAATTCTTTTCCATCTAAGCCATTACTGAAAGCAGTGAACTGGGACTGGATATGCCCTGAACCAGTTTCCCTTGAGTCTCCTGCCACAAGCTCCAGGCTGTTGCTGCACACCAGCTCCTGAGCTGGCCCAGCCATGCCTAGTTTCTGGAATTATTTAATGGGAAAATGAGCTGCCAAGAGCTCCCTATCAAAATAAAGTGTTCCCATGGTTGTGCTCTGCTTGGAGTCAAACTGCCACTCTCCAGAGCACCACAGGGCCATGGCAGGACCCCCCACCTCCAGCCACTTCACCCATGGCAGCTCTCACTGGGGTCTCTTGCTCGGTTTGCTACTTGGGAGACCCTCTCTGGTGCACTGCTTGCTCTGCAGGCTTCAAAAAGAAATGCCCCAAACTTCCCAGGCTCGTAAATCTGCCAACTTTTGCACGCTCCCTAAATTTCCCTGATTGACTTCTTGGACTGTTAATTTCCTAAGAGCTGGGAGTTCTTTTCTAAGGACCAAATTACAAGGATACAGGAAGGGACTGCAGTCACGAGGTGCTGATTGCCAGACGTGACCCAGTGCTCACAGTGGCTCCCTCTGCTCTGCCCCGCAGCCACGTTTCCTTGTGCCAATCTTACAATTTTGGCTGCTACACGGGCAGTCAGATGGTGCAGCCACAGAAACGGCTTTGAAATGAAGCTAATGGGCTGTTTGTGTTCATCTTTTATTAATTGCAGGCTGCTGAGCTTGAGGGAGATCTAGATTAACAGTGGCACATGTGTTACTGATCTCGCTGGCCCACATCTGCTCGCTGTGGCCAGTGTGGGTGGAGGGAAATCCTTCAGCCCTGATTTTCCAGGCACTTACACGTTTCCAGCCGCTCCTCAAGGAAAGAGATCTGCTCGCTCAGGGAGTCAATTCTGTCCAGTTGCTGGAGGGAGTGGGACAGTCGGCTGATGGGGTCTGTGCCGACGTCCTCCGGCGCCGATGGCATGAGGTTGTGGAAAGGGGCCAGCACCAGCTGGAGTTTCTGCAGGGAGAAGGGGAGCCATGAGTGTGCCCCCCCACACACCAGGAGGACCTCCTGAAGGAATGCAGCACCCACCAGGGCAGGCTCGTGGGGCTTTGGTGGAGTTCAAAAGGCTGCTGGGCTGGAAAAGCCGCGGCGTGGGTGCTGCCGGCAGCGTGGAGCACAGCTGGGATTGCTGCTGGGATCGCTGCCGAGGCCAGCACTGTGTTAAAAATAGAGCTGGGGAAGAGGGAAACCCCGGCTGTGAACAGCCCGGGGTGGGAGCTGGCTCAGCACAGCCTCCAGCAGCAACAGGGCAGGGCAGAGGGGTGTGCTGGAAGTCACCTGCTCCAGCGCTTCCACTCGGCTCCTCAGGTCGCTCATTTCTTCCTTCACTTCATTGGAGGGACCTGAAAAAGTGACCAGGGGAAGGTCAGTCAGTAAAAGCCCATTGCCCAAGGTGAAGTGGAAGGTGCTGGGGAGAAAGACATTGCTGCAGGGCTCAGGCCAAGCTCTGCTGTTTTCCCCTGCCCTCCCAGTGAGCACCCAGGGTCTGCCCTGCCGGAATCAGGCCCCGGAGCATCAGCTGGATCCAACACCCGCTGCAAGCACTGGCATCTAGTCCAGCTGCTAATGGCACAGGCTTCTCCTGCTGCTGGAGCACCTGCAACAAAGTGGGGGATTCTTCAGGTAATGGGGTGATGCTTGAAGGACAAGGTGCCTGGTGGAGCCTGGCCTTTGGCACCCGCGTTGTCAGAGAGCACCCGAGTGTGCCCCGTCCCACGGTGGGCACAAGGAGTCGATCCTGCTGAGGGTCCAGGACAGGGACAAAGGCAGGCGTGGCACTTGGAGGCCGTGCCCTGCTCTCCCAGGTGTTTGCTGCGTGATGCCTGTGCTGGCCACAGCGCATTATTACTCACGGTACGAGTTTGAAGTGTCACAGCGCGTACCAAAAGTAATAATGGGCCGTCACCGGCGCCGCTCCTCGTGGCTCCGGACCTGCCCTGTGGGAACGACGATGCTGATGGAGAGAACAGGCACATCCCAGACACCACAAACCACAGCCAGGCTGTGTCACCCTCACAGATGGATTTGGGCACAGGGGAAGTTGTTTGGGTGGGAGAGGGACTCCTGGGCCACCGAGAATAAAGCTGAGGGGTTCTCTGGCTGTCGTCCCCTCTCCAGCCACAGCTGCTCCAGCTGGTGACACTGGGTGTTAACCCCAGCTCTCTGAAGGCCCAGAGCAGCTGGGGCTGCACTGGTGGGACAAGTTACCTGCTTGGCTGAAGGTGTCCATCTCGGGCACTGGCACCAGGGGCCTGCAGTCCTTGTCATCAGCAGCGAGGGTGAAGCCGTCCTGGCACGTGCAGCGGTAGCTCCCGGCTGTGTTGATGCAGAGCTGGCTGCAGCCATGGCTCTGGCTGGCACATTCATCCACATCTGAAACACAGGAATGACTCAGTGAGGGCAGGAGGGACAGGGGTGAGGGGCACAGATGGCTTAGGCACGGGGGGGCTGCAATGGAATTCCAGCAAGTGCCCCCGGAATGAGCTGGTGTTTGTGCAGGGCACAGCTCTGGGTGTCTCAGCACCACCAGCACCTGGGACAGTCCAGCTGGATAAACCTGTGCTAAGCCTGAGGGGGGATCTGGCCTCCTCCTCTCTTTCCATTCCCCCCATAACAGAGCCAGAAGCAAAAGCTGTGGTCAGAAACATCCCGGCTCTGGCCAGGCGGGCGCAGGCAGCGCCCGGCTCTCATCCTGGATTTACGGCCAGGGTTTTGGTTCCAGCCAGCTGTGGTGAGGAGCCATCAGCCTTTCAAGTGTGTACAAAACCCAGTAACCTCTCCTCACACGGGGGAGTTATTAGAGCTGTTCCCACAAAGCAGAATGAGCTGAACCGCTTCCCACGCCCGAGCACTGTTTTAGGCAGTGGGAAAATCTTTTCCTCCTGCACTGGAGCCGGAGCTGTCAGCGATGGGCTCAGCCCTGCCTGGCCCAGCGTGGGTCAATGCCACACACTCCTCCTCTGCCTCACAGGAGGGTGGAAAGCTGGGAGAAGCTGGGAAACGCCATGGTAGGGGCTTTGCATCACTGGCGTGCACCACCCTGCCCGATTTCCCTGTGCTGTGAGGAGCATCGGGCTGCTCCTGTGCTGGAGAGGAGTCTGGTGCCTGGAGACTGCCAGGCTTCCCTTCCACCCCTGGATATTTACGGATTTAGTCCCTGCAGTAAATGGATGTCTTAGTTTACAGTGAGAGTTTACAAAGCCTGGGAGAGGGAAGATCACAAGCACAAAACCTCGGGCCAGCCCCACAAGGTTTCTGTGCTGAAGAAAGGCTCTTGCTGGTGTGCTCACAGCTCTGCTCACTCTGATCAGAAGCGGAGAGAAAATGTGGGTGCCAGGGCTGCACATGAGGGCTGGGAGCACTGAGGCAGCCAAAGGAAGGTCAGAACTCCCCTGGGAGCCAGGGGAGTTCTGGCCAGACCATCAGGCATCAGTGCCATGGAGCGACACATGTAGCTGTGCATGTGTGTGCACCAGGCATGTCCCGAGGTCTGGTAAGGAGCCACAGCGCTGGTCCCTGTCCCCACTGAGGGGTCGGTGCATGGTCAAAGGACAAGCAGAGCCCTGTGGCAGCAGCTCTGATGCTTCCCAAGGCGAGCCCTTCCAGCAGCAGCACAGGGAGCAGGGAAAGGAGTGACATGGCCAGTACCTGTCTGGCAGGCTCGCCCCGTCCAGCCGGGTGGGCAGGCACATCTGCCAGGGAAGGTGCAGCTCCCGCCGTTCTGGCACGGCACCCAGCAGAGAGCTGTGAGAGGAAACACCAGCACAGCATCACCCGGCAGTTCTGGGGGTCCTGAGCTCCCCCCTCCCACCCTGGATGCAACACACACACTGCACACCCCAAAACACACACCAGCACCAGCCCAGGGGCAGCAAAGACAGAGGGAGGAGGGTGATGGACTGAGCTTGTCAGGGGATGGACTGACTGCTGCTGTGGTTTGCAGTTGTGGCCTCCTGAAAGTATTTCTTTTCCATTACTGCTGATTTATGTGGAAAGGAATTGCTTGCTTTATTTATCCTCTGTTAACTATAGAGGTAATGAGCGATCCCAAAGGAAAAAGGCCCAAGAGGCAGCAGAGAAAGGCTGGGAATTAATCAGATATTGAACCGCATTTGGTTGTGATGCTTAAAATGTAAATGCTTTCCTAGAGGGAGAGTCCACCTGACAGGCAGAGTGTTGGTGAATGAGAGAACTGGTCCTGGGCTTCCTCCAGTGACACAAGGGATCTGGGGATGAGCACTGGTCCAGCAAACTCTTACCTCTGTTACAGCTGAGGGTGTGGGTATTTGCTCTGCTCCAGCCGGGACAGCACGAGGCCACGGGCTCAGGCAGCTGCCTGTACCTCTGCCGATAGGCAACTCTGTAGATGGTCCTGCAATGCAAGGATGGGGCTGAGCCGGGTGCCAGAGCACCCTCCCCAAGCCTCCATCCCATTCCCTGCGGTGGCACCCAAAGCCAGGCACTGGGAGCATTGTCCCTTTGGATCGAGGCAGGATTGCCCCCTCCCACAGCTGCCACACTGGGAGCAGGTCTGTGGCACAGGCAGTGCCCTCACCTGTAGGTGCTGCAGACACGGTGGCCCTGGCAGGTGGTGAGGTAGGGCTGGTAGACGGGCTGGACGTGGGACTCGGTGTAGGCGCCCGCCCGGCTCTGCGGCGCCGCGGCACAGACCCTGCGGCTGAGCAGAGGGGACAGGGTCACATCTCACCAGCCAGGACGGGGCCTGACAGCCCCTCTCTGCAGAGGGCGAGTGAAACAGCAGTGCCTAATTGCCCCAGGGCCCACTTCAAGCTGTTTTGGGGCACTGGCATAAATCTGGAGCACTTTGGGCTGCACAGGCACTTCCTCCCCTGCCCCTGTGCCAAGGCACTGACGCCTCCTCAAACACTCACCCAGCATGGTCCCTCTGTCCCAGGGGAGCAGTCAGGACTCAGATTTAGGGATGATTTACTCATTCCATACATCATCTCCCTTCCCCTAAAATCCCTCACTTTCTGTGTGGATTTTTCCTTTCTGAGACTTTTGCATTCCTGAAACAGATGCCCCTGTGGTCACTAAGAAATTAATGACTTCACAGGCAGGGTCAGGCTCACCGCAAAAAAAAATAGAGGCTAGATGAAAGGGGCCCTCCAGCCTTCCTAAGATAACTGTTATCCAGCCAGAAACTTTCCCAAGGTTAACAGCCAAAGTGGTCTTGGTTAAATACCCTCTCTTTCAACATTTTTCAGCCCAAGCAGGTCAGTCCCACTGAGGAACTCATCCCCTCATCTCAGCCTCCCAGCTCAATCAGAAACTAAAATAAAAAGCCTGGGAATTAGCATGGACATCAGATGGCTTCCATTAACTCCAGAGAACTCCTCTCAGCCTCGTGATTAATGTTATAGAAAATGCAATTTTTAAATGGCAATTGTTTGCTTTGCAAAATTTAGAATAAAGCTCTGGTTGCAGCCCGTGCGTGCGAGTGAGGAATTCAGCTGTGGTTTTAGTCCCAACCAGAATGCGAAAGGTTTGATGCTGGAGGAGCATTTCAGTGTAAAAACAAACTTTGTAGAAAATGTGAGCTGTATCTGGGGGTGGATGTTGAGCTCCAGCTCCTCTTGGTTGGTGAAGAATCTGGGGCACTGAGCTCTGGGCTTCCTCGGACCCCGTGGGAGCTGAGCTGTGCCCGCCCAGGCTGTGCTGGGATCCTGGGTGCCAGGTCAGACCCTTCTCCTGGAAAGGGAAGGGAAAATGCTGGGTTTGCAGGACCATGGACCACAGCACCATCCTGGGGAGCACAGGGCACAGTAGGCACCAGCCCACCAGGGCATTCCACACCCGTGTCCCATAGATGTTGTGTCCATCAGAGCTGGGAGCTGCATCCTCCTCTGATGGGAGCTGCATCCTCCTTTGACAGCTTGTTCACAAGGCTCAACTGCTGTGATTGATTTCACAAATATTTTTGCTGCAAGATTTCACAAATATTTTTGTGAAGGATGTGCTTGAAAGAGACAATAATAATAATAATTCCTGAACAGCCTGATCACCTTTTGACTCTCACGGACAAAAAGCCCAGAGTGTCTTTGTGTCCCTGCCTGGAGCTAAACGGGCATTTTCTCTGAGAGGTTTTTTAGCTTCAGTGACAAAGCAAACAACCAGCAAAGGGCTGCCAGAGCCTTTTTGCACCTCCTGACCAGCCCCAGGGAGCTGCCCATGTCCATGCTGGCCAAACAGGGCTCTTCACCTGGAGAGGATGTGCCTCACCACGACGTGCACATGGGCACGCCTGGGAGGTGCAGACAGAATGGGGCCTTACCCTGCCCGGGCAAAGCCATCGGTGCTGGTGGTGCTGAGGATGAGGAGGAGTCCCGAGAGGAGGCAGCTGAGGTGGCACATGTCCTGTCCCTCCCACAGCACCCCGGGCTGTGCAGCACGACCGGCTCTCGCTCTTCAGTGGGATGTGCTGCCTCCTACCACATGTCCTGTCCTTCAGCGTGGAACCCTGCAACCAGGAGAAGAGCAGTGTGAACATGCATGTCCTTCCCTTGCTGGTGACATCTGACAGAGCCATGGGAACACACCCCTGGCAAGGGGAGGAGCTCCTCCAGGCACAAACCCACTTTTCCCCACTCGTCTCAATATTGTGGTGGTGATTTACCCCAGGGGATGCCTGGAGAGGCTCTCACAGCACCACTCAGTCATGTGTTGAGAGGCAGGGAAGGGACCTGTGTTGCCTGAAACACTCTGCCAAGTCCAGGCAGCGAGGGCAAAACAATGGTCCCTAATTTCTTAATCCACACAGCATTGTAAAGCTGTGTTTTCCCACCACATAACACACTGAAATCTGATCTTCTTCCCTTTAAAATACAAGTTCGTGCCAGAGGAAAGTGCTGCAAGGGCCATATGTACCGTCTGCAGAGTCAGATCTGGGCCGCAAATAAAGAGCTTTTGATTTTCTAGCCGAGGACAAACATGAAACAAGGCAGAAGAAGGTCAGTAACAATATCTAATTTAAACAGTATTGCATTTAAACAAACCAGTTGGCCTCCGGATGGCAGCAGCTGAAGGAGGAAGAAATAAAGAAACCCACCTTAAACACACACCCATTAAAGGAAGAATCTGTTGTTCTGATTAAACCTTGAGAAAAGGGAGGCAACACAAAAAACCTCCTTCTGAGACTGGAAACATGATGACTGCAAACCAACTTGCTAAAATCCTCAAGTGCTGTGGGGTGGGATTGGACTGGAAAGTTGCAGGTGGATCCCCAATCTCCACTAGTATTAATTCCTAACTGAGACAACTTGTTAGGGATAACCACCATATATCTGTAGACCCTGCAGGCCTCAAATCCCTCCTCCAAGGCACTCAGAATCATCCTTTCCTTTGTGCAGGTAGAGAAACTGAAACATGGAAAGATGGAGACTCACAACTGGAGAGAAACCAGTCTGGTGCCTTCCTGTTCCTTAATATCAAACACCAACTATCAAATGTCAAATATGACATCATATTTCCATGCGAGCCCAGTTTTGAGGATGCAAAGAGGATTTTGGTGCTATAGAGCCTATAGTGCTCCATTCTCCTCCAAACATAGCAATAAACTTCAGCTCCTAATGACTGATTTATGGTATCTCCACCACCAGGAAAGCAAATCTTGCTTGATCTGCAGGAAAGTTTTTTAAAAGTAGTGAAGAAGCCTTTCTTTTCCCCAGTTCTCCTGGAGACATCCCAAGGACACTGGTGTACAGACACACTAACTCCCCCCTGCTCCGCCAGCCAGCTTTTCCCAGGGCTATACTGGGACACATATTTTCCCTGCAATCCCAGATCCCCAGGCTAGCAGTGCTTCTTCTGAAGTCACTCAGTCAAACTCTGCCAACCATCTCCGTCCTCCCACAGGATTCCCGTGACTGCCATTGGAGCTTTCCCTGTGGGGACGGCAAGAAACGCAGGGCACGAGCCTAAAATACAGACGGTTTGTTTTTTTTCACTTTGAAATGGAGCAGCACTGCCCTACCTCGAGTGGTCAGAGGATCCCTCTGGGTCATAAAACTGTGGTTGCTTCACACAAGAAAAAGTTGCAAAAGTGCAAAACATGATAGTCTATACTTGTCTTTTTTATAAGTTTATGAAAATCAGCCTCTTTATAGCCACTGAAGATCTTCCAGCCTGTTGTCACCACCTATTCTAATATTGCTCTTTTAACACATATAACTCAAGAAAAATCTTTTCGTGCTTAAAAAGAAAGAAATAGTTTTTGGTCGCTGCCTTTGTAGTCTCTCAAATGAAGAGGTCTGGCAAGTGAAACTATGCGGGTGCCTCTAAGTTTCTGCTGTTTCAGGAGTCAGCAAAGCTTCCTTGGCTGGCCACGTGCTCCTGTGAGTCTGGGGATCCTTCTCCTGCCAGCCAGAAACATTCCTATAGCTTTCCTAAGTCTGTTCTTGCCTCACCTGCCACAGCAACCAACGGCAAACACAACCCCCCGTGCAGGTGAGCAGCACTTTGTGCAGCTCTGCCCATGGAACCAAGACTAAAGATCCAGCTGATGGCAGCAGGAGGAATCGAGCTCTGTCTGCAAAGGGATGCGAGACAATCCGGCTCCTCGGGAGGATGCAATAAACCTCACAGGCTGCACTTTTCCCAGCAGCCTGGCCTGGTTCTGCAGGTGAAACCGCGGCTCCAAGCCGTGCACTGGCCCTGGCCTGTGCCCTCGGAGCCAAACCCACCTGGAGGGGGTCTGCACCAACCGCAGGGGGATGGATGGTTCCTTACAGACACCTCCAGCTGTTCCCTGTGCAGGCTGGGATGCGGCGCCGCGGGGCACGGCACGCGGTGCGGGCGGGATGGAGCGGGACGCGGGGATGCGGGCACTGTGGAGCGGGGAGAAGGGAGGGGGGACGGCGGAGGGGGCTCCGGGGGTACGGCACAGTGCGGCGGCACACAGGGACACGGGACCGCGGGGGCTGCAGGGACACCGTTATCACGCAGCGGCTGCGGGGACCCGGGAATCACGGAGCGGGCTGCGGGGACCCCCGGAGGCCGCGGGGAGCTGCGGGGACGCGGGTGTCCGAGGATCTGCAGGGACCTGGTGTCCCGGGGGCTGCAGGAACTGCAGGGACGCGAGTATCCCGGGTGTCACAGCGTCTAAAGGGACGCGAGTGTCCCGGGGGGGCTGCAGGAACTGTAGGGACACGGGTACCCCGGGGGGCTGCCGGGACGCGGCGCAGGGATGCTCATCGCGGCCGCAGCAGTCCCATCGCGGCCGCAGCAGCCCCATCGCGGCCGCAGCAGCCCCATCCCCGCTGCTCGGCGCTGCCCGCAGCCCCGCAGCCCCTCCGCCGGCCCAGGGCCCCCCCCGGCCGCCCCCCCAGCGCTGCGGCACCGAGCCCCGCTCCGCCGACACCCCCCGCCCCTCCCCGCCGGGGGATGCGGCCGCGGCCCCTCCGGCCGTGCTGACACCGGGCGGTGCTCGCCGGGACTCACCGGTGCCGGTGCCGGAGCCGCGGAGTCGCCGCCGCGCCGCGGCCCCCCGCGCATTTCCTCCCCCGGCCCGAGCCGGTCCCTCCGCCCCGGCCCAATGAGCTCCCGGCGGGGAGGAAAGCGGAGCCTCCCGGCCGGGGGGAAGCGCCGGGGCCCGGGGAGCCTCCGCCTGCCCCCGCCCCGCCGGCCCCCGCCGGCCGCCACCTGCCCCCGGCGCCCCGGGGAACATCTGGGGACGCGGCACGACCGCCGGAGAAATCAGTTCTTGCGGGGGAGGGAGTCATGCGGGGATAGGGCAGGAGCCCATCCCGGGGTGGGGGGACACGCCGGTGGTGCGCCCCGTGAGTTTTCGCGGGATTGCAGGAAACCCCTGCCCTGGATTGATCTGGAGCCTTACCTGGTGACCCCACGTCAGGCTGAGCCCCTCAGCCCCCTGCGTGCCCCACACTGCGAGGACACGAGGTCCCTGAACCCCCTATGGCCCAGCCCGCCTGGGTGGGCAGGGGATTATATCAAGAGGGGGAGATCCCAGCGCAGCCCCCGGCCCCTCGCCCGGGGGTGTTCAGACTCCCCAGGGAAATGGTCCATCGCCAGGGCAGTGCCCAGGGCAAATTTATTTCTCTTTGCTAAAAAATACTGTGGCTGGTTCCGCGCTCCCCACGAGCACATATAATTTTAAGAGGAGACGTGTTTCCCTAGGTTAGAGACCTGGTCCACAGCCTCCCGCCGTGCCCCGTTAATCCCCCTGAGCTCATTACAACAGCAAAGTCCTGCAGACGCCGGCAATGAACTGCCAGGACGGGGAGGCTGGTTTCCAGCGAGCCCTAAAGGATGATTACAGGATTCCTTGGAGGCCCCCCCAGCTGTGGAGCCGTGTGAGGATCGACCCCGAGAGACTCCCAAGGGTGACACACTGGGCTCAGCTCCGGCTGGGCAACACCTGCCCCGGGACAGCTCAGGCAGCCCCATCCCAGCTGCCTACAGGCTGCTCCTCTTAAAATGCCCAGTTATTTATCAAAGCGGTTCGGTTTGTGCCAAATTGCCACTTGTTTTGTCTACATTTTTGTCTGGAAAATTAGAGCACAGAGGCTTATTGTTTTTCAAATGACTTAGGCGCCTGCCCATGCACAGAGCCATTCTTGAAGATAGCGGGGATCTGATGTGCGAATGAATGGCAGGATACAGCCCCCTGGGAATATTTGTTCCCATTAAGTTTTGTAATTTTTTCGAAAGCATGTAAGCATTTAAAGGAAATATTTACCAGTTAAACAACAATGGCGCCAAAAGAGCAACTGAGATCACTGGCCCATCCCCTCTATTTCCTCAGGGATACGCTGAGGCTGCTGATGGAACTGGAGCTGTCTCGGGTCGTGCTGCACCCCCCGGGAAGCTGATGGGTGCTGGTGTTCTGGAGTGGGGCTCCCCGTGTAAAAGGAGTTTTGGTGGGATTCTCCCTGAGGAAGGGAACAGAGGGGAATCCACTCTGGGATGTGCTGGGATCCCTCCCAGCAGCAAAGGAAAGGCTTGCTGGTGCTGGTGGAAGCACAGCTCCACGTTATGCAGCATCTCATACAGCACAGGCGGGGTTGCTCACCCTGTGGATCCATCCTACCTCCCGGGAATGATTTCAGCTCATTTAATCTCCTAAACACGAAGCAGAGGCAACTTTTCCCAAGAGCCTTGAAGGGACAGTAATTATCTTGTTATGCCGAGAGTGTTACTGTTTTTTCTGGTGTACGGGGGAGATGAACAGAGCCTGAATTATTGTCTAATAATTGCAAAGTGCATTTGGAAGCCAAGGGAAGCTTCTCCGTCTGGCCATGCTGAAAGCACAGGATCTCATTTTGCAGCCGAGACACTCACCTTGTCCACGGTGCTCCATCATGTGTCCTGGGCAGGGATCCTTTCCTTAAGGAGCATCTTGGTTTCTTACTGTCAGGACAGAAAAAGCCCACTGTTACACTCCCCTTGTCAGGCAGGCAGAGACCAGTGACCCAGCCCTTGCCCATGATGGACCTGGTGTGGGATGCCCTGGACACTCCCAAAGGTGTGGAGCTGTGGAGGATGAAACATTTGTGGAGTGGGGTGGAGGATGAAAGCAGGATAGTGAGTCCCTGTGGCACTGGCAGTGACACCACTGGTGCACCAGAGGCACGGACACTGTGACACCGTGGTAGGGCACAGGGAGGCCCTGACTGCTTGGGAAACCTTTGCCTGAGTCCCCGGGATCCCAAGTGTAAATTTGATGGTGAGGAAGAGGATGGACTCATCCTTCAGCTCTTTGCAGTACACCACCCAGCACAGGACCAAGCACACCACCTTCCAGCATCCTCATTGGAGCCTTCTCAGCCATTAGGCAATTATTCCCTAAGTGCACTGAGCATTTTAAAATTCTGCCAGTATTTTAATTGCAAAATGTTCGCTTTGCAGTTCCATTTATTGGGTCAAATCTTTGCTCAAGCAAGTGTCCATGTCAGCTGCTAAAACTGCATATAGCCCATTAAAAGAGCATTTAATCCTCTGCTCTTGGGGAGGGTTCGGTGTCTTATGTGCTAATATTCATTATGCTGGGAGGAAATCCCCCAGGACACTGTCTGGCAAAGTTCCCTTGGAAGCAGAGGCGTTATGCGAGTTCAGAGTGGGGGAAGATCAGATCTGTTGGCACTGTTAAGGTCGGTGTGATGAGCTTCTGACAAAGGCAGCAAGGGATTTTGGCTCCTGCCTGCAAGGCTGTCTGAATTTGAAGTCCTCCCTTGACCAATGTTTTACATTTTTCCCCCACAGCTTTCTCCCTCACACACTAGAAGTGTACTCCCACGACATCTAATATTAATGCTTGTCTCCAGGCCAAGAAAGAAATGTTTCTGCCCAACCTCCCTCTTAGATTGAACAAAGTCAAAACCTCCTTGTCTCCCACTGGTTTTACCACCAGCGTGAGCTGTGAAGGACACCGAGTGCTGGCCTGGAGCAGGTCTCAGGCTGAGCACTGGGCTGGCTGTGAAAGTCAGATTTTCACCCACCCCCCTGTTTCCTAGAGCCTGTCCCACAGACCTGCCAAGCCCAATGCACCTGTCTGGGCATCCAACATCCCCCTGAGAGCATCTGTGGTGGATCAAGGCATGGAGCTGTGAGCTGGAAGTGGTCCCCTGTGTGACAGGAGAGCTTGGAGGGTGTGAGGTATCTGGGGATGGGGGGACTTAACTTTGCTCTGGCTCTGTAGTCACGAAAAAGGAATGATAACAGAGGAGAATTAATAGGAGATCAGCACTAAAGTCCCACATCAGAGAGGAGCACTTCCATCCCATCACAGAAAACGGGACGTGCCCAGGCACACGAGCGCTGCCCCAAACTGGGGCCAGAGGTGCTGAAATGGCAGATGGATGGGGGGACAGGCAGGAGAGTGACACACATACAGATGCAAAACTTTTCAGCTGCTACAAGCCCTGGCTGACCCCGTACCTGCTGTGGACAATGGGCTCTCACTGGCCTCTGCGGGGGTCTGGCACAGAACTGGAAGCACTTGCTAAAGCAATAGGAATTTTTGGTGCTTCTCAAAAAAGGAGGGGGAATGGCTTTTCCTGTTCTAGGACAAATTCTTCTGCTCAGGTTTTTCATAAGGCTGTTTGTAAACTTTACACTTGAGTTGAGGCTTTGGAGCAGCCCCTGTTCTGCAGAGCTCTGGGAGAAAAACGACCTCCCACTATTCTATTATGTCCTATATTGTTCTCAGCTGCGTCAGCTGCAGACCAGTTATCTCAGTGGAAATCTAGATGAGTCCACCGATGGCAGTGGGATAAAAACAGGTCAAGCCAAGAAAGGTACTTGGCCTGTAGCTCTCAGTCTGTTGTCACCAGTTGCCCAGGGCTCTGTGTATTATAACCGAGACTGGAGCCCCACAAAGTGATATTTTCTTTGCCTGAGTAAGGACTTAACAAGCATTAAGTGTCTCAGGACAGGTGTGTTATAACTTAAGGTGACCATGGGGACAACCAGCAGCCGAGCTGCAGCTGTACAAAAACAAATGCCAGAACAGGGCAACATCCCATAGCTAGGTTTATTTTCCTTTGCATGCACACTTGAGCTCTTATTTACATTTAGAGAAGGCAGCAGTGGCTGCAGTGTAAAAACTGGGAAATGATTCATCCCGCCCAGGAATAAACTGAATTTTGCAGCTTTCTGTGAAATTTCCCTGGCAAAACACAGCATTAGTCAGCAGGGAACGGTCCCCCACCCCACTTCCCCAGTGAATCACTCCAGAAGAGAGCATGGGAAGAGCAGTGGGATGGCTGGGAGATGCAGGACAGCTCGGTCCCTGAACCGTGACCATCCCAGGGAGCAGCTCAGCAAAGAGCATTTCACACAAGAAATGCTCTGATTTTTGCTCTGATTATCCTTCTCTTCCAGGAGAAAATCTCCAGCTCCAGGAACCTGTATGAAGCAGAGCTCCTCTCTGCCCTCACCTCCCAGGCTGCGAGCAGGTCGGGGATCCAAGAGCTTGCTTCGGGAGAGAGGACAGAGCAAAAGAAAACATTTCTGATCACCCCCTTCTCTTTGCAGAGACACTTTTCTTTCCCTGTCTGGTCTGAGACCTCTCCCCTGGTGTTTTGCCATGCCTCCCTGCTGCTGGTGGGGCTGTGAGGCAGGTTGGTTTACCCTAATTTGTTGCAGTTTGTAAATCTGCCTCCCCCGGGCCAGCCCCATCTGCAGCAGCAGAGCCTGGGAAATGCCTCAAATGAGCCTCCAGACCAGATTCATTTTCTCTTTCTTACCTCCAGGGAAACTTGTGAGAGATGGTAGTGGAACAGCAGAGAGGGGGGAGTAACTCCATCGGCAGATCACAGGGAAGAATACTGAGAATCTGCCAGGACAGACTCCGTGTTTTCCATTCCCCCCAGAGGTGGATTTTTGAGGATGCTCAGGATCCAACCACCACATTTGGACTTCTGCCTCGCACAGCTTCCCAATCCAGTCTTAAATTAATTTCATCACTGAGAAAGCCTTGTTGTTTCTTCTTATTTTTTATTCTCTGCTCAGTGAATTGATTCCACGAATATTAGACCCTTGGAAAAAGTATGCCGGGTTATTTCTACTGAGAGCATTCACTGGTGTGGTTCTGCTCCATATTCCCACACAGCCAGCCAGTGCCTGGGTATCTTAGTTGCTCTTTTATCCCAAAATACAGGTAGCTGAAAACAGACAGCATGAAAATCAGCCGGCTCCATGGCTGTAAATTTGGGAGGCTTTGCTGAGCTCCTGGCATGCACACCCCGCACACTCCAGGCTCGGCTGTTAGGCAGGACAAAGCCTTGGTGTGACAGCCAGGAGAGTCCCTGCCCACATCCCTGTCCTGCCCCTCATCCTGCCTGGATCTGGGGCTGAATTTGGCAGCACAGAGAGGAGACCAGCAGGCAGGGAGCACAGGAGGAAGGACAGATAGCACCGTGGTGCATCAGTGGTCAGAGAGCAGGCAAAGGAAAAAGGGAAAGAGTAACAGAAAGTGATTTGCTAAGAATTTGCAACCATCTCACAGGAATTTGTGCAAGTGTTTGCAGCCTCTACACGAACAGGAGGTAAAATTTACCCACGGAGTTCTCTGCTCCTGGAAAACATCCTGAGTGCCAGTGAGGTGAATTAAGAATAACAGTGCTGGAGGCTGAGCTCCACTCTGAGCAAAGCAGACCCAGCCTCACCAGGAGGATGGAGCCTCATCCTCAGATGGAGGATGCTCTACACACCTTTTTGCTTTAAAGGACGCTTTACACACCCTTGTGCTTTGAAGGATGCTTTACACACCCGTGTGCTCCAAAGGATCCTTTACGCCCCTGTTTGCTCCACACTGCTCCATTCCCAGGGCTCCTACCATCACCTCTGCCTGAGCAGGGGGAAAACCACCCAGAGCCCACAGGGTCTCACCTGGCAAGGACACACTCCCGCTGCCTCAGTGCCAGCCCCACATCCCATCCCATCCCATCCCATCCCGTCCCATCCACCCCATTCTCACTGTGGCTCTACAGTACCTGTGGCACCCCACTGTCCCCCGCCGTGCTGGGAGCAGCCCCAGTGCCGTGCTCCCGGATGGCTCCTGGTGGCCATCCCTGCCCGGCCACCCCGGGTCCGGCGGGCCCAGGCACCCGCCCGGTGGCCCCGGCATGGCCAGCTGCCGGCCACGTACAGGCAGGAGGTGGCTGCCGAGGTGGAAGGGCGGCTTTTTATGCTTTTCTTCCTGTATAAATCAGGCCGGGGATGGACAATCCCAGACAGGACTTCCTGTGTGTGTTGTGAGCTGATAACGGGCGCCGCGAGGAGAACAAACACGGCTGCCCCGCACCCTGAGGGGGAGAGGGGCTGCGGGGCGGCACCCCCACACCGTGACCACCGGGGATGGACACAGGGGGCTGAAACGGAGAGGAGGGAGACACCAGTCCCCGGGGACACAGGGAGCGACAGGGCGGCCGCCCGGGCTCCCTCCTGCGCCTCACAGCAGGCGTAAGATGGGTGCCTGCCCCCCGCCCTCCCGCCTCGCTGGGGCACATTTCGGCAGCACCCACCACAGACACCACTCGTTCCCCCTCAGAGGGGGTGGATCGGTGGCAAGTGGGGACCCCCATCCTCCCTCACAGCCCGTGCCAAGCGTGGCGGGGTTGGCGGCCATCTTGTCATGAGGGGCCATGTTGATGTTGCGCACCAGCGGAGCGTGTTCTGGGGTATTTGTGACCCCCCTGAAATTTGGGTTGCAGCACTGTGGTCAGTCAGTTTGCTGGATGGCTTGTCACCCCTGTCACACTGTGCCTGTGTTGGGAAGGAGTGAGTTACACCCAGTTTGGGTGACAAAACCTACAGGACGTCACCCAGCAAAGATGGCGCCTTCAGGGCCAGGCGGCAGAGAAGCATGAAAACAACTGCCCTGGTGCCCTAATTTTCAAGCCCATTCTGGGGCAAAACTGATTATAATTCCAAATCTAATACACGTGTGTGTGTGTGACCTTGGTTCTGGGCGACCAAAGGAGGAACAACACAGTTTTTAATCGGATTTTGAACCTTTGATCTGGACCGTGCTAAGAAAGGAGATGTTTTAGAAGCATGAGGGGTGTGGTGGTGGCAATTATATGTCAACCCTGAAGACCCCCATGGCAGCCTGTGGGTTCTGCCCCTGTCCTGGCAGAGCACATGGTGCTGGTTTAGGGCCACGTGCCATCTGGGGCTCCCCTGGAGCAGGGCTGTGTCCCCGGCTCGTGCCGCACGTGCCGGGGTCCTCCCGATTGTGCGCAGGCTCACGGTGAGCACAGGATTACTCCCACCCTGATTCAGCAAAACACTACTCTGGGCAAGTCCCCCGGGAGTTGCAAAATATTCCTGTGTTTATTTACATAAATGCATGGCTAAAGAAAGCCCCCTCTTGTTTTCCTTGGCAGACAGGGTTTTAAAGGCTGCTTTCTGCTGCCCATCATCCTCTCCAGCAATAGGTGATTGTATACATCGTGTGCTGCTGGCAGCAAGCATTCCCAGCTGGTGGATTCTGTGGGAGCACACCTGTTCAGGGGAGTCTCCTCGAGGCAAGAGAGTGTGTGTGTGGGTGGGTGTGTGGGTGTGTGTGTGTGTGCACTCGGTTGTGCATGAAATGCTGTTGTGCACACATTAACCTATAGGGAGGGTGTATCTCCCTGTGGTTTTCTAGTTGGTGATGAGTTTCAAGCATCATCTCCCTGTGGAAAGGTACAGGGTTCACATGGATGACACGTGTCACCTGTGAGATGAGGCAGCGCTGGATGCTCCGTTCAGATCAGAAGTGCTGAGCACTGGGAACTCAGCAGGTCCAGAGCTGAGAGCTTTCTCCACCATCAGCAGACGCACAGGCTCAACCCTATAATGTGCAGAGCCTTCACAACAGCTCCTGGAATCCTCCCCAAAACACTACACTCAAATTTTATCATCAACAATAGCAGTCGACAACCACTGCTTGGTCCTGTGCCATCTCTCCCGTGCCCTCTGCCCCGGGATGAGTGCAGGTCACAGGGCATGACAGGGACATCATCCACCCACACCTCCCTGCGCACGCAGAGCCAGGCACGGAGCGGGACTGCTCTGGCCTCAGCAGCGGAGCCGCAGGAGTGAAACGGGATGTGTGGAAAACGTTTCCTGTTTACCCAGTCTTTTGGAGTCCTCAGTAATAGCTGCTGGAGCGGGAATTGGTCAGCGGGGGCTATATGAATGGGTGTTTTTACATTTGAAATCGTGACGCCTCATCTTGCAGAGCTGCCACTGTCCTCCTGGGGAAGTTTATGTTGAGGGAAAGCCTGAGTGTCAGCCAAGGCTCAGTTATGGTGCGTGAGAAGGAGGGAGGGAGGGAGGGAGGGAGGGAGGAAGCCAGAGGGTGTTGGTGCTGCACCCCCAGCCATGCTGGCCATGCCCACAGTCCTGCCTCTGCCTGCACCTCCCGTTGTCCCCCAACCTCCTGCTGGCACCTCCACTGGGGCTCCAGCTCCCTGGCAGCTCCCAGCCCATCCTGAGGTGACCTTTTGGGTAGCCCACGGTGGCAAGTGGCAGTGGACCCACCAGAGCAGAGCACCATATGGGCAGGCAGCCCCAAGCCGGGACACGTGCTTTTCCAAAGGCTTTTCCAAAGGCCGTGAGCCCCCTCCACCACTGACCTGCTCCACGGCATTCAGGGCCTGTCAGGCGTGAATTGAGTAGGGGGATGGAGGGGCTTTAGCCCCTTATTAGCACAGGCCAATTAGTGTGGCATGCTGCTCTCCTGTCAGCTGATGTGGCTGCTGTTGAATACACCCTGCCCACGCTGATCCCTTTAAGGTTGAGGCTGTGTTTGATGTTTTCCCCCATGGTTTTGCTGCAGGAACTTTTACACATCTTTTTTTTTTTTTTCCCTCCGAGTCTCAGCTGCTCCTGAGAAACCAAGTCCTGCCTGGTTTGTTTTATTGGCCTTTTTGGGCTGCTCTGTGCCAGCATGTGCTGCTTACTGTGATGCTGCAGAGAGTCAGAGAGACACCACTACCAGGGCAAGACTCCCAGCAGCCACATTTCAGTAAGTTTTTTACGTTCCCTGTGCTCCCCACCATCCCTTGGATGAGCTGCACCCCACTCAACTCATCCCCTCACTGCTGTTTCTTGTGAGGCACCTGGTCTTAGATGCCCAGATGTCACAAGATCCTGGGGACATGTGGCACCTCTAAACCTACTTGGCCGCTCTCCAGCCTGTCCTTGAGGTGAGGATGATGGGGAAAACAACAGGGAACAGCGCTGGGCAGAGTCCAGCCCAGAGATTACGATGTGCCTCCCGCACACGGGGCAGGACCAAGGAGTTCTGAGGGTGCCCTGGGAATACCCGACAGTGCAGCCGTAATTAATCAAGTTCAGAGATTGAATTCTTCATTAGTGCTTCTCACTGCGCAGGGAGAGCCTTGGGAGTCTGTCAGACATCCACGGCCTGGCTGGGAAACACATTTGTCTTCTCCTGGTGGAAACTTTCTATGACAAGGAATTTCATCCGCGTTTTGCAGAGAACGTTGTACATTTCAGAGAAATCAGAATTCAGGAAAAAAGTTCCTCCGAAACTATCCCAGCTCCAAAATTGAGGTTTGAACTTTAGAGCCCCGAAATGTGAATGATTAGTTGACATTGTGTTTTTCCCACTGAAATTTCCCTAAAGGTTCAAAAAAACGTTGTCAAACAAAACTTCATTAGTGCAGTGTCTGGGGAGGACCTGAACCTGGGCACATGATGGCTGCTTTGGGATGGGGCCATGCTGTGGGGTGAGGAGCTGAGAGGACCAACAGGCTTCTGTTTGCAGAGGGGTTTTGGGGCTCTCTGCAGCCCCATGTCCAGTGGGACCCTCCCCTCAGTCACGAAGAAACAACACTGAGGAAAGCTCTTTTGGCAGAGCTCTTTGGGGAGTATTTGTTCCCTGAGCTCTTTGATTATTAGTCTTTTCAAAAAGCTCTTTGATTATTAGTCTTAAAAAAAAAAAAGAGAGAAGAAAAGAAAAATGGTAAAGAAAAGATGCTTTGGGATAGCTGCCTCTGCCGAGTCTTCCTCTGTTTTCAGCTTGCACAAGGAACTGTGTGTCTCTAGGTTTTTATCTCACAGTAAATACTTATTTTATCTCTGACAGTGAGAGTCAGAGACTCCTCATTTTCAACACTTGGGAAGCACCCTGCAACATCCTCCAGGGATGGCTGGATCTGCCTCTGACCCAGAGGCTACAGATGCTGTTGGAGTGTGGCTGAGTCTCTTCCCCAGGGCAAAGACATTCTCTTTGTGCAGGTCTCTCATTCCTCATCAAAGTCTCCACTTTTGCAATAAAGACATTTTTCAAGGTCTTTTGACGTCCATAAGGCCTCCCCTCCCTCCCACTTGTACTAGTAGCTGCTCATTAACACCAAAAGCTAATTGCTACCCATATGTTAATTAGATATTTGACATCGTGTTGCACAAGGGGTTGGGGTTGTGATGACAGAAAGCTGGGAGTTGACTTCTATGATGCTGACTTTAAGTAGTGCTTCTTACAGAAGACTGGCAGGTTCTTCCAGGACATCTCCAACATGGAAATAAGCCAAAGCAAAGGCTCCATGTGGGACACAGCCCCCGGCCAGGGAAACATTTCTGTTGCAAGCAATGCTTGAGCACACGCTTAAAGCCCTGCACGTGCTCCTGTGCTTTGTCAGAGGTGTGGGGGAGTTTGTGCCATCAAGTTCAAGCTGTCCAGGGCCATAAATCAACTCCAGCAAAATTAAGACTGGCATCAAGAGATCAGCCAGACCTTACTGTGAAGCACATTGTACGTCTGCGCTTTCCTGAATCAGAGTGACCCCAAGACACTACTGAAGCACCAACACCTGCACCCCCAGCTGTAAGATGGGAGTAACACCGTGGTGGGCAGTTTCTGTAAGACCAAGGTGAGCAGCTCCCACTCAGGTGGGCTGAACAACGCACCAGCCCTTGCTGTGCTTCATCTGAGTCACCCTGAGGGCTCAGCCTCCCTTCTCACTCTTGACAAAGAGTTCAAGGAAAGCCTGATAAGAGAAGGGGAGAAAGTGAGGGAGACAGGGAGCAGAGACTAAATATTGTGCAATTTGGTGTCTTGCACACAAGCAGCAAACCCTGGGCTGGGGGACAAACTGCCAAACTCCCCTGCTCTGCAGCAGTGTGCTCTGGGCCACCACTGGGACCCCCATGTACCCAATGTCAGGGCTGTGGCTGCTGCTGCTGTGATAACATCGAGGGCAGAGATGGGAAAAAGCCCAGAGCCTCCCTTTTGCTAAGCCAGCATGGTAAAGGGCTCCTTTATCTGCCCTTTGGTGAGAGATAAGGTTTCAGTGTTGTCCTGCCGGAGCAGCTTGTATCGCTCACAGATACCTCCCCTGGCTGCAGGAAGGTATCAGGCACTCAGAAAATATTTGAGCAAGACTGTATCTTTGAGAAACCCGTGTGCAATGGAAAGACACACAGGATGGATTAGATCTGCACTGTGGGGGGATTCAGTGCCTCCAGCTCATGCAAGGACAAATCACGTTCCCTCAGCCACCAGGACTGCGGGGGCCTCTCTTGTTGCAAATCCCTGCGGAGAAGAATTGTCACAGACAGAACAGGGACCCAGGTGCCTGGGCTTCTTACTGGGTTGAGACACCTGCCCATTCCCCCCCAAATTCCATCAGGTATGAGGTGCACCCCTTGCACATCCCTGGTATCTGCCTTAGAATCAACTCCCACCACCACAGAAGGATGGGAAAACATTTTCCACTGCCAAAACTTCACTCAGTTAATCCAGCTGCCGTTTTCTTGTACCAGGAACATCTCTGAAGGTGGATACATGTGCAATCATTCTTTTATTTTTTCTATTCTATGATAACAGAGTCCAAATCCTAAACGAAGAACTTTGCTTTCAGCAAAGACCAAAAATATGCATTTTGAATTCTCTGCCAAAAGCTACACCAAATGATCAGTCAAGGATTCCCTCAGACCTGCCACTAATTTCACAGAATCCCAGACTGGTTTGAGTTGGAAGGGATGTCAAAGTTCATCCAGTTCTACCCCCTGCCATGGGCAGGGACACCTTCCACTAGCCCAGGTTGCTCCAAGCCCCATCCAACCTGGTCTTGGACACTTCCAGGGATGGGTCAGCCACAGCTTCTGTGGGTAACCTGTGCCAGGGCCTCACCACCCTCACAGGGAAGAATTTCTCCCTAATATCTAATCTAATTCTCTCCTCTTTCGTTTTGCAGCCGTTCCCCCTTGTCCTATCACTCCATGTCCTTACAAAGGTGACTTCTTAGTGGTTACTCCATTCTGCACCAAAATCCTGAGGGCTAAGAGCCCTCCTCCTTCTCCTCCCTGCCTGCAGCCCACAACCTCTTTCCCAGCAACACTTACTGGCCATTGTAGAGAACAATAATTGACATTTTAAATGTGCCCAGTAGCAGAAGAGAACACTTGAAACTGATTGAAAGTTTTCTACTTCAAAAATACTTGGTGTATGGAAAAATGCACTCCAAGGTCCATTTCTGATCCCATTCTGTGGAACTAAGTCCAGAGCAGGTCTCCATGGAGAAGACCTGGAGAATGGACAGGACGTTACAGTAATGATGTTTGTTCTACAGAAATGATTAAGCCAAATAACATGAGCTGAATAGAGCTCGATGTCCTTTTTATAGAATTAATAAGGTGTGTAATGGATAACTGTCTCCCCCTTAGTGGATCTAATACCTTGGCTTAAAAGTCCTACCCAGGAAACTTTCGTGGCTTTTTTGCTGACTTCACTGGATTTCAGCAACATAATAGAGAAGTGGAATTCAGCCTAAAAGTCAGACAGTGAATGCAGAAGTCAAGACTTAGGAAAAAGATACAAAAAAAGAACTGTTGATATGTCTCTTCTCTGACACGTCGCAGTGTATCAAAATGGCCACTGCCTTTATTTTGTTTAATCACTTATCTCCATGGAGGGAAGAGGAAATTCCCAAGCACGCATGATCGTTAAAAATATTAGCCAGGGCCTGGTGATTATTTTTGGTAGCTAAAAACTTCCTGACTGAGCGGTTTGGGTTTGCATTGGACTTCAGTAAATGTTTTAGGATAACTTTCATAAATACCCATTATACTCAAACCAGTGGGCAGTTTACAATTCAGCTGGGAAGGGCGGGGATATGTTTCTCTTTCTTTTGTTCTGCTGTGCCGCATGCTAAAGTGCATAGAGCCACACTGAATTAGCATTTAGCTATTTTCTTGTATCCTTAAATAAAGGACTAGTTCACACAGTCAGAAATCTCTGTTTCCTTTCGGGCAGGAAAAAGGAAGTGAATGCGAGGGGCAGATTTGGAGTTTGCTTGCAAGAACAATTGAACTCCCATCCAGAGGGGAAGGGGATCTGCGTCAAGAGGAATTCACTTTTTTTTTCCTCTCTCTCTCTCTTTTTTTTTTTTTTTTTTAAATTCTGGAAGGGAAGAGAAAATGACCTTTAGTTTAAAAGCCTGAAAGAATAAAGGTCTGAGCCTTTGGAGCTGCCTGCACAAATATAGTCATGAAGGCTTTTTCCTGACAAAGGGCTCCCGTGGCTGCTCTCGCCGTCCTTCAGCGGCGGGGCCCGACTGCGGACGCGGCTCCGGGTGCTCCCCTCTTACTTATCCAAGGTGAAGGGCGGCACCAAAACCTGTCAGCAGTTCCTGCCCGGGAGGGACAGTCCCTGGGTATTTTTGAAAAATATTTACCATTTTTCTCTCTCTGTCCCTCCCCAGTGCTGCCAGGCTGGTGAGTCAGATGAGACTTACTGGATGGGATTTAGTGGATCCCCTTGTCTTTTTCCCCAAAAGTCCTACTTATAGGTGTCTGTACCAGCAGGCAGGGCATCAACTTGATCTCTTATGTGGCCAAGACCTCACACTGGCCCAATTTTGGTCCCTTTTCAGCAAACCACAAACCCTCTCCCAGCTTCTCTGGGAAGAGGATGTGAACTGAGGCCTCAGGGGCTTGACCAAGTGTCAAAACATTATCTGTGTGGTCTCATCTATGTGGTCTCATCCAAACCATTTTAGTTCTCACCACTACTCTGCGTTTTAGTGAGCCTTGCATATCCACAGAGTATTTTTCTCTATATTTCTTTCTCCTCCTCACAAGCCAGATTTCCAAGGAAGCTCCAGAGCTGGGGAATACGCAGTTGAACCTTGCTAAGATGTTTGAGCATCCTATCTCCAGGGGCATTAGGCATTTTAGGATGTGAGTCAGTCAGTTTTATGCATCAGTCAAGGCGAGGGCCCTCCCTGTGGTACCCAGCACTTTGCCAGAGAAATCCTGGGAAAAGAGCAATAGGCTATAACCTGCTGCAGCTGAGGGACTCATCACCCTTCCCTCCTCACACATCAGTCAGACCTGTGCTGGACCCCTGACAGAGTTTGCATGAGGGGTTTCTGCCCCAAAATCAGAGCCCAGGCTAACAGTTCACATCCTGCATCCTGCAGCAAGAGCATCGCTTTCCCAGGCCTGCTTCCCTCCAGGGCTGCAGGTAATAAACAGGGCCCCGAGGGAGCTCAGGGGATCCAGCTGCAATTTGGATTCCCACATACTCAGGCAAGTTCCTCAGAGCAGTTTTTCTCCCATCCAACCAAAATATTTGCTCGGAACGTGGAGCCGCGGCTGGGCAATGTCAGCAGCAAATGTCAGCAAGTGTCAGCAGGAGAGAAACTAATTAGATAAAATGGGCCAAATTTCTCCTGAGATGAGCTCCTCTGTGATCAGTGTAGGAAGGGTGAATGTGGCCTAGTGGTTAAATTGATTATTTTGTGCTCTCTTGTTGCCTCTATCCTGGTTTTATCTAGGCAGCCTCACTGCCTGCCCAGGGGCTCACCTGGCTCCGGGGAGCAACACTGGCAGGGACCCCCTTGACAGCACATCACAGACACCTCACAGCTGAGTTCGGATGAAATCACCTCTCAGGACTAAATCTGTGGTTCTCCAAATATATTTTGGCAGGTTTCCACCTTTCTTCTCCAAAGTTGTCCATCCCCGGTGTGTGCAGCTGGAGGGATGCTCCCGCCAGCGCTCAGAGGGACAAACCCAGAGCAGAGAGACACCAAGAGGGACAAACACAATGGGTTCTGAACGGATCAGGCATCATCTCTGCTAAGGTCAGACGTCTGCAGAGCCCGGCACTAGGCAAAGGTGCATCTGGAAATGCCGAGGCTGGGATGACTCAGTGCATGAGGAAATGGTGTCACCTCCAGCCCTGTGCAAGCAGCTCTGCTCCCACACCCCGCCACTGCTGCCAGATCCAACCTGCTGGTTTACCCTTTGCTACCAAAACTTTTGGACCAAACTCCCCCAGCTGAAGCTTGATTAAGGCTTCAGGTCCTACTCATGGGTCTGTTGACATCAAGGGAGCCAAGCTGGGGAGCCCATCCCCATGTCCAGCCCTGGATGTGAGCAGAGGTGAGAGGTGTATGGACAAGGGGAGGATTATAGTGCACAAAACATATGGGAATTTGCCTGCCCCATGTTTTTTTATTCTTATTTCTGTTCCCCCTGAGCTCCCAGCATAGAGTGTACATGGTGCATAAAGGTAATTCATTAACCTGCAGGAATGAGGAGGCCTAAACTTTCCCCCAGTCTCTGTGACAGCAGCAGTTTGTGATGTCTGGTGTCGGGGACACGCTCCCAGAGCCGTGCCAGCCATGCAGGGGATGTGTACACAGCTCCTCAGGAATGCACCCTCCAAGCAGGACCCTGGGGTGTGGGAGGGCTGCAGAGGGACAAGGGAAAGGCACAAAGTCCAGGAGAGCCCAGCTGGATGTTTAGTGCTGGGTACCAGGAGATGTTTTGTTCCCCTCACAGGAAGGACGGGTTTAGCAGAGTCACGGCACCGGGTTTGGGACTTCAGGGCAGACTGGGGGGACAAGAGCTGTTGTGGTGGGACCAGGTGGGAATGCCAAGGTAGGGCATATTTTCAGGGTTCTGAGTGCTTGTGCAAGGCCAGGGATAGTGGCAGAGCTGGTGGTGCAATGAAAGGAGCCCTGAGCCCCACATCACCTGCAGGGCTGCCAAGTCCCCCATGGGACTGGAGTGGACTCATTCCCTCCCCAGCCCCTGATTTGCCCGTCAGAAGCAGCAGAATCAGTCACAACCAGGGCTGAGCAGACATTGGAATTTCTACCCCAATCCAGGTGCCCAAGTGTCACCCAAGTGCCCCAACAAAGAGGATAAACTTGCCTAGGAGAATTGGTGGGAATGACCCAACTTAAACTGAGGAGCAAAAGGTCGTTTTCCCTCTCCTCCTGGAGGATGCAAGGCTCAAGGAGGCTGTGCCAGCCCAGCAGGGAGCCTTCAGCTGCTTTATTCATAGAAATCCAGCCTTCACACCAGCCCTGGAGCTGCTGCCTCCCTGGCACCAGCCCAGAGAGGGTCTGTGCTCCGAGCAAACGAGCAGGGCAGCACAGGCACCACGGCCAATGTCACAGCAGGAGCGATAACATCGGGATCAGCAGAGAAATGGAGTCATTGGAGCAGGACATCGTCACGTGCCCAGTTCCTCCTGCTGCACAAATGAACAGTTCAGGTTGGATCGTCTTATTTTCCATAAACACACCAGGTTGTTAATCCTGGATTTGCTGAAGAGCGCTGCTGGGACAGCACTTTGAGTTCAAGTGTCAGCCTTAAACCTGAGCTTTACTGAGATTAGTCCCAGCTACAAAGCGACCAACACTCAGCAGGTTCCATATGAGTACAAAAATGGGTGAATTAGGGATCCTGTGGCACACAGTGAGCAAAATTACTGGTCTGTTATTTCTGAATTCTTTTTATTTTATTTTTTTTCTCTGTTTTGATTTTGATTCATTTTTCCATCGTAGGAAGCAGCTCAGAGATTGGTCGTGACATACCCTGGGCTGATTCCATTGAAAGCCTCTTTTCAAAAGGAAACATTTGCCATCTTACTCCCAGCTTTGATTTGCCTGTCCCTGCTCACTCACCAGGGCTTGTTCTGCAACATTAATAGGAAAGTTTCTTTGCACAGAGCCAACCAGCAACTATGCCCAAGTGATTCTGTTCAAGGAATAAAAAGCACATTCACTTTGTGTTTGAGATGACATTTATGTGGTGGGGGAGTTTGAGAGCTCGGTGGGGAATATGGCAGAGAAAAAACATTCTTGTGAGGAGCTGTTTCAAAAGAAAAGAAACAAGAATCCAGGAGAGATAAGAAAATGAGCGTTTGCAGAATCTGGGAAAGCCTTGTGCAGAGGGACGGAGACAAAGTACGAGAATGCACTTTATTTGTGACAAGCTTTCCATCCTGGGCAGCCAAACAGGACATCCTGCTTCAGTTCTCCTTCCTCTCTTTAATTAGAGTTGCGTTCAGGACACTGCCATTAATGTCGTCTCAGCATTTCCATGACAAAGCCCTGTTTTTGCGGGACTTTAGGAACTTGGCCCTAGAAAAATCTGTTATTAGTGTAGGACTGTTCAGCTCAGAGTCTGGGGCAGGTTTGCAGGCAGTGGCTGTGACATTTCCATCACAAGGAGCCGAGTGGATCCATCCAGGACGTGGGAGGAGGGAAGGAGACCAAATGCCATCTCCAGACGTGGTGGGATTAGGGGTGCCCCAATCTGTGCCCAAGCAAACATCTCCATTTTGGATCTGAAACGTGGCACTTCTCTGACCCCCATTAAAAATCACACCACTCACATTTCCAAATCTGTAAGTCACTGTGGAAACCTCTGTGTTTTCAAATAATTTTTAAAAGCCTGAAAAGAGAATCAAAATCTCCAGCAATGGTGTTTTCACTGCCTGAAAGCAGGGCCTGGCGACAGCCCCTCTGGTTGAACTTGGCCCATAAATGGGACCCCTAAAATCCCTGTCACACCACCAGAGCAGGTCCTTGTGGTGTAGCACACCCTGCCCACCCCAGCCTGGGACAACAGCAAAGCAAACAGGACCCAGCAGGGCTGTCAAAGTGTTAAAAGGGGCTGAAACCACAGTGGGCAGTGCTGGCAGAGAACCTGGCTGACAAGTGAGCTATAAAACACCCATGTTTGAAAGAAGCTGAAATGCACCTCAGACACCAGGACAGCCTGGGAGAGTTAAACCAGCTCTAGTGATAAACCAGATTCCTGTCGTGCTTGTGGTGCTGCATAAACTCCTTCCTTCATGGCAGGACCTGGGGTTTGTACACTGGCTCTGAGCACACAGGCAGGAGAAATCCTCATTCCTGTCCCACCACTGGCACCAAGGGCCCAGTGACACCAGATTGTGTGTGGCTGAAACAGGGGCAGCACAAGAGCGGGAGAAGCCACAGCTCAGTCCAGCCAACGCCCCTGGGGCTGGTTTTGGCTCGAGAAGTACTAAATATTATTAGCAAAATGAAAACACTTTTTTTTCCATGGTGGAAAAACTAGTCCTTCCCACTGAAAACATTAGTGTGATTCTCCCACTCCTAAAGGGAGAGAAAACAGATTCCTTTGTTCGTGTTGCAGCCCCAGGTGCATCACTGGCATCCAGAGTGGAGCGAGCTCTGGAAGAAGCTGTAAAGCAACATTTCATCACAGGATACTCCAAAGCAGACAGGGTTAAGCTAAACATCCTTTTACCACTGCTCTTTCACTTCCCATTTGAGGGAAGAGGATACAATGGTCCTGCACCCTGTACTAAAGCTGTGCTGAGGAAACTGTACGAAGGCTGTGCTGGGGGATCCCCTCCCTGTGCAGCCATCCCAGGGCCACTTTGGCTGCAGGAGTGGGGCTGTGATTCTCTGCCAGCTTCCTGCAGCTCAGTGGCACGGCCAGGATGGTGCATCTCCTGTCCCAGGCTCCCATGCCCACCAGCCAGGGGACCATGTGCAATTCCCTGCCTTCTCCCACCCTCACTGCCACCCCATGACTTTCCTCTCTTGGGAGTCTGCTGAGGAGCCGAGTCAGAGAAATGATCTGATTTAAATGAACTGAAAGAGTGAAGAATCGGTGGAAAAGCAGCTGGTTTGGGGGTTTCCAAGCTGTCTGGAGCTGTTTGACCAATTTCCCACCCACTGGAACAAGCTGGTTTGGGTAAAAGGCATCGATGTTCCATTGCCACCCTGGCTGATGAGCTACTCCGTATAGAAGCCCACCTGGCTTCGGGACTTTGGCTGAGGAGATTTAGGATGTGCTGGCACAGGGACCCACAGGGAAGGTGCTAGGCACCACTGGGGAGGCTGGTGGGCTCCGTCCCCCTTCCCAGACCCACGGAACCACAGCGCAGGCGAGGCAGGGCAGGAAGGGAGCCGGCGGAGATGAGTGTTTCCTGACTCTCCGGAGCGAAACAGAAAAGCGCTGTCACTCAGCGGCCCCCGCAAGTGCAGCGGCAAGATAACTCCAGACACAGCCACCATCACTTCCCCCCTTTGTCCCTGGCTTTTTTCAGGCCTTCCTGAGCAGAAACGTCCCATCTCCAAAGGAATGTCACTGCTGCTGGCCAGCCAGGAGATGCCGAGTGGCCGCGCTGCCCACGGCTTGCTGCGGGCTCAGCTGGGATGTGGGTGCTGCAGGCACCCCAGGGTGTGGAACAGTTGGCAGCCCCCAGCTGGGAACTGCCACAGGAACCTGCAGAAGACATGCAAGGCAACACGACATGGTGGAATTGAACTGCCACATCCCCCAGTTTCCTGATCTGAGTCACTCCTGAGCGCAGGAGATGAAAGGCCATTGGGAGCTCACGGAAAACAACACCACTCAGGAACTCAGGGCAGCCCCAGAGTCATATCAACCAGCCCCAGTGTTCTGTTCTACACATTCCTTAGGCTCCTGGGACAGCACAGGTCCCCTCCAACCTCAGTCGATGCCCCAGCCCATGCCTGGAGGATGCTCACAGGACATCTCATGGCTGAGACAGTCTCTGCTACTTGTGTGTCCCTATTGTGGTGCCCACTGAGCCAGCCTGGGGTAACCCGCAGGCACTGCTGTCCCTGGCAGGAGACACACACCCCCTGCACAAACCCCACAGGGACCCTTCTGATCTGAAAGTAGGGAGCATGCCACCCCTTAAATTAGGATGTATTTTTCCCCAGGCTCCTTCTCAAAGCGGGCTCTGGCTTTGGCTCTTTGGATGGTCACCCTATGGCCACCTCTCTGTTCAGTAAAGACCTGAGCCAACGCACACAGTTGCAGAGGAACAGCCCCACAGCAGATGCTTTCACTCCCACAGCAGTGTGGGACAAGGTGGGGCCTGACAGGAGCAAGGGGCTGATGAGGCACCCCCAGAGAGGGCCCTTGGACAGCACAGCATCAGTGCCCCCAAAGCCAAGGCTGGAATGCGGTGAGGCTGTTTTATTATCTCCTCCCCTGCCTCTCAAGGACAAAATAACTTAACGGTTGTAGAAACATATTTTTCACCAAGGGATTCTTCATTAGTGCTCGTTTCCTCTCCCAGCTCATTTCCTGGAAGCAGTTTGTGCTGATGGAGGTGGGCAGGAGCTGCCACGGGATGCACAGGCTGCGTGTGTGCGTGCGGGTGCACACACATTCCTTCCACGCCCCACAGCCCAGGGTTTCAGCCACGCTGGGGACACACTGCATTTCTGCTGACCACCAGTTCTCCATGCTTGGAAACACAGGCAGACAGTGATAGGACAAGGGGGAATGATTTTAAAGTAAAAGAGGAGAGATTTAGATTAGATATTAGGAAGAAATTCTTCCCTGTGAGGGTGGGGAGGCTCTGGCACAGGTTGCCCAGAGAAGCTGTGGCTGCCCCATTCCTGGAAGTGTCCAAGGCCGGGTTGGATGGGGCTTGGAGCAACCTGGGCTAGTGGAAGGTGTCCCTGCCCATGGCAGGGGGTTTGGAACAAGGTGGGCTTTAAGGTGCCTTCCAACTCAAACTATTCCATGATTCTATGATTCTAAGCACCCTGCAGGCAGGTCCTGGTGTTCACAGCCCAGAGCCCACCTGGTGTCAGAGCAGAGGGTGCAAAGGCACAACATGGATGGTTCTCTCTATAAAACCTTCCTCAGGGGTGTTTACAGGTCAGTCATAAATATTTGCTCCTGGCTTCAGTTTTCCCAGGAAAGGTTTCAGCCCACGAGCAATTGCTCACTGAGCCAGTTCTTCCCTGGTTGTTTACTTTTGGAGCTCCCCGGAGTTAAACACAGCTTTACTCCTAGAGCAACTGGAATGCAACATCTATTATCTCCATGGATGATAATAAACTAATTATGGGTCTTGTGGCAACCAAATAACAAGAAATGATCCTGTAACTGGTGCTGTTGATCAGGCACTAAACTGGAGAGCGAGGATGTCCCTGCAGCGCCCCGTGCCCTCAGTGGCAGCCAGCCTGCCCTGGGAGGGAGGGAGGGAGGGAGGGAGCTGGCAAGCCAGAGGAAAAGGATATGGTGCTTCTGGGAGCCGCGGCCGTTTGAAGGCTGCGAGGGGAAACAGGCCAGGGGGTTATCCAATCTCTCGGAGCAGACATTTCCGCCCGGCACGCCCCAGCGGCACAGTCACTCCGCTTCATTAATAAATCACTAATCCCGCCCGCCGCGGCTGCCGCGGGGAGGAAACGGGAGCTGGGGCGCACGGGGCCGGGAGCGGGACGCGTGTGCGTGTGCCCGTGAGCGCACGGGGAGGGTGCAGGTCGCAGCCAGCAGCCTCACAAAGGCCCTGCCAGGCAGGCACAGCCCTTCCCAGCTCACCTGCGTCTGGCCACGTGTAGAGGATGCTAAGCTGCACCGCGGCCGTGGCTCCCTGTGGTCCGGATAACCCAGGACAACAAGCGTGTGTGACACAACCTGGAGATGGGCAAAAACCTTCCTTCTACCAACTGTCGCAAGCTCCAGTCCCCCTTCCCAGCTGCCTCTCTGTATTTATAGAAAGCCAGAGCTTTCTGAGGGCTTTGAGGCTCTCCAGGACACTATTTCAGCCCCAAACAATGCGAGCAGCATTGTTTCCCCGGGAACACAAAACACAGTTTACACAAGGGCCACTTGGCATTTTGGCAGATGATCAGCAGGCAAAGGCAGGGCTTTCCGGGCTGCAGCCCTGGAGAAGCCACAGCTTCTCTGCCTGA